CCCGAGCCCCCCCCCGACATGGACATTCAAGATGGGGTTGGAAGGAATCCCCTGTCCCTCGGTTCCAGGTGGCCCTGTCCCCCCCATCCCTCCTCCTGTACTCCCCCCAGACGAGCACACACCACTGGCCCTCCCAGGGCCATCACTCAGCCTGGTGCTCACCCGCAACCCTCATCCTCACCTTTGATTTAGCTACTGACCTCAAGCGAAACCTGCCCCGATGCCACCTATCAACCCAGCAGCACTCCTCGTCCCCTGTAAGCCCTTCAGGATGAGCACAGGATGCCACTACGATGCCATCCCCCTTGTCCCCTCTGTCCCCCTTGTCTCCTGGCTCAGGTGCTGAGACTGCTTTGCAGCTGCCGACTCCAGAAAGGCCATTCCCGGGGCAGGAGACGTTATAGGAGACCTGGGTGCTGCCCACGTTTGGCATCTGGGGTGGGTGGTGGTGGCCCTGGGGGGCTCAGTCCCCCATGAGCAGCCTCCGGTTGTAGGTTTGCAGCCCATGTTGCTACTGAATTAATGCACTAATGCCCGCAGCAGCTTGAGATGAGAAATAAAGCTAACGCAAGCGCTGTGCTTCCACAGTTCTGCCTGCAATCCGCCTTCCCACAGCCAGTGCCCTGGGTTACTTGGCATTAGCTGGGGCAGCGAGGCCCCTCAGGAGCCCAAACAAAGCTCAAAGTCACCAAGGGATGCAAGCTCTGTGCCCCAAGGCATGGCCAACGCTTCATGGGTCAATACCCATAAGGGACTGCAATGCAGGGGAGGTGGGTGCAGGAATAACCCCCCGCCCCGAGCCGGCAGCCAGGCAGGTGGGAGAGATCCCCTTCCCGGGAGGGAGGGATCTGCTTAGGGTTCTTCAATCTCAAATCCAGCTCCTTCCCCGCGCAAACCCAGGCTGCGGTTCCTGGGAAGCTCCTGGGATCGGTTGCAGCCATCAGGACTGATGGATTTGAGATCCTGCCCATCATCAATGTGGTTCAAGTGCCTGAGCATTGCTGGGAGCCTCTTGCTGCCCTCCTGGATAGTGGGATTTCTCTTGGGAAAGCTGAAATCTCCAAGTCATATCCTTGAAAAAAGGAGTGGAGACGAGCCCTGTGAGGAAGTCCTGCTCCATGCTGAGGAGCAAGAAAGTGACCACCTAAATCCTGTAGGGATGCCATCCCCTTTGGAGGACATGCATAGTAATTTTGTCAGGCATAAATGTTGACTCACAAGTCTGTGTTGAGTTGGGTGAGTTAAAAAACCCAACAAAAACCAGAGATATTGCTGAAGAAAATCACCAGATTAATTTGAAAAATATTTTTTTCCTTCAAAAATGAAAAAATGTTTAAACCAAAGTTTTAAAAAATGGGTTTTTAATCCAGCTAAAGAGCTCATTGAACATTTTGAAACGTTGCGACTCAAAAGTTCTCAGCAATGAAAAAAAGGAGGGAAAAAAAAAAAGGTAAGAAAAGCAAGAATTAATTGGATTAAAATAGTTTGGTGGATCTTTTTAGCAGCATCTTGGAAAAACATCTCTAATATGTCATTGGTGTCACCGATGTGGTTAGAGAACTTTGCAGAGCCTGGCCAGAAGGTCTTGCAATAACTCCAAGTGTTCTTTTGAAAAGGACTATATTGAGCTTAAAACCCCATCACGAGCCAACAGCAGAGCCAGGAATAAATCATGGTGGTCTGAAATCCTTCCCCATCCCAACTAAGCCATGCCAATCCGCGGCACACAGAGTTTTCCACATCGGTCCTTGCTGGCACGCTCTTGACCAAAAGGGAGGATGAGTGGGCACTGGCAGCATTTTGGTTTCTAATGGTCAAAACATCAGAAATTTCTAACAGGAGGATGGTGCGAGGTGTAAGAATGACCCATCAGGGCCGTGGTGGAGATGCTATATCCTGGCAGGGCACCTGAACACCCGCCGGCAGCAGCGGCCCACGTGGATGACAATGAAGATGATGCTGATGAGGAGGTAGCTCATACCGATGGCCTTGATGGCATAGATTGTCTCGGGATCATTGAGTGTCCGTCGGCGCTGGTGCTGGTAGGTCACGCGGAGCCGGAAGCCGGCCACCATCTTGCCCTCCCGCCAGCAGAAGTAGGTGCCTCTGTCGCTGACCCGGACCCGCTGGATGTGCAGGTGGTTTCCATGGTCGATGAATACTCGCATGTTCTTCCTGACACCGATGAGGTAGCGGGAACGGTAGAGCCGGACAGAGTCTTTGTCCCAGGCCACAGCATGCTCAGGCCGGGCTCCCGGGCATGCGATTATGAGGTCACTTCCACCGGGCTGCTTGTGAAACTGCGTGGGGACATGAGGCAGCCAGGGCTTCGTGCCCAGCTTGGAAATGACATTGGAGATGGCCTGCACGCCTTCCTCGGGGACCTCCTCCTTCAGGCAAGGGGTCAGGCAGCTTCGGATGGCCACCTCGGGTCTCCGGAGGCGGGAACGGTGGGGGGACACGCTTCGAGCCACAGGACGTGACGTTGGGCACAGTGGTGCGGTATCGAGGGTGCAGTTGGGCGCTCTGCACATAGCAGAGCCCGATCCGCCGCTGCTCGCCTCTCACCCCACAGCGGTCACACCTGGTCCAGTCCCAGAAGGTGGTGAAGAGGCTGAAGAGCTTCTCCGTGTAGTCATCCTGGACATGCTGGCCTCTGTCCATAAAAGCCACGGTGATGTGCTTGGTGGGCTGCACATCCACGTCATAGCCATAAAAGAAGTCACCTTCCTTAGTGCCGCACAGGTAGTGTCCCGAGT